AGTCGGTCATCGAGCACTGTATAAGACACAGCGCCCTGGGGAAAACCCCCCAAGACTCTCACAAGGCTGAACCAAGACTCGCCCAAGACTGGACTGCCTCAAGGCTCGCCCCTGGACTGGACTCTCGACTGCACTCTCTCGGCTGCGTCTATCGTGCTGTGCTCCCCAAGACCAACTCAAACTCTCTTTATTCATTTTCAAAACTCTAACCAATTACAAAGCAGTAAAAAGACTCTAGGGCGTAACCTTCAATCATAAAGCCAATCACACTAAGTACTGAATACGTCATATCTTTTGATTAATCGTTCACTACATTAATAACTATGAATGTAAACTGTCAGAATCAATAGAATAGCGACGGATATCTCGTAATTAGTTCCAAATCACTGAGCCAAGTTCCGTCCAAAACTTCAAATAGGCCTAAACGATGACAGACATAACACAGCAATTCAGCTAATAATCAACTAATTAAGTCGGTTAACAGATACGCGAAAACAAATTCATGACACTAGCTTCCATTGTATGCGTTGTACAAACAGAAAACCGTTTCTAATATTATTTTTTTTATTCGAAGCATTATTCGTGCCATTTGGTCATGGTATAGTTATCTTGAAGAACGGTGGGTTACTGAAAGCATGCTATGGCAGCCACAAATGGTACTTCGATTCTGCATACCCACCGGAAGAAGAAGACTCTCCTCTTGATCTCTCAATTGAAACGAGCAAACCATTCAGGTCGGTAAATAAGTATATGACGAATGTTTACCTGATCTTTCAATTTAAGGTTGTGGGATTTTCAGCGCCCCGCACCTTTACAATGACTTCATTTGTGACATTTGCATTGTGACATTGCATGGTATGGTAAACCTATGGTGTACACTATGGTCTTAAATTCTTAATCTTGAACTGCCTAAATATGAGAATATATGAATATTGCCCGCAGGATTAGTCCAGTTCATACATTATATTCCCATGGCAACTTGAATCAACAAATCAGCTAACCGAGTATCTTTTACAGGGCACTGACTATATGGCTACCGTTAAAACTACATGGTGTTGGAGCATTCAGAAGTTATTTGCAAGAAAAGGTCTTGCTTGCACGTTACCTGTTTAAGAATATGAAAGGTTTGTATATGATTTGCCTTACATTATGTATTTAATATTTTATCTGTGGACTGCGTTGGAAAATATGAAAAGCTGTGACAATTGTGGTTGCTAATGTGTCCATATAATATTTTTTGTTTTGTTTAATACTTAAGACATAGTACTAGGCTGAATATTTTGCTATTATTAAATTGTGTTTCTTGTAGCAGAATTCATAGATACATTTGTATATCAATAATGATTTATTTAAACGATATTAAATGTGTATGCCTAAGGAAAGGTTATTTGTAAATATAGTATGTATCCGATAAAGTATGAATGCCATTGCTATAAACAATGAAAAAGGGTTACAGATACAGTGTCTGGTACAGTATCTTACATTATCATGACAATAATATATAATGAATAAATAGAGACACCATAGCTAGTATTAGTTGATTCATCATTAACATTAAACATTGCAAATAGATCCGTGGTACATCGTGGCCATTCCAGGATATAAACTCGTTCTTACAATTAAATAAATACAACATTAGTATATTAGGCCCATTTTATATGATATTTCAATCGTGTGCATGCGACGGAAAACTTAATATATTGCCAAATATTTTGATTTCAATTATTTCCATGGGATAGCAAATTTAGTATTTTTTGGCAAATTTTTAATTCATTATCAGTATCAGTGTGTTTAAATTTCTGCGAATTAACATTAT